TTGAAGTGCAAGGACGTCATCGTGACACATCTTAGGTAATCAGAGGCGTTTAGAGGATTAAATATCACTGCACAAACCTCATACTAAAGATGCATGGCGCTGATTTACTTTGTAGGTGCAGGATGTTTAAAGGGCCCAGTGTGACCCGCTGCGGAGTGGCCTGCATAATAATGCCATTAAGTAGGCTAAGTATAAACCATAAAGCTCTGCAAGTTTAAGGTCTATTTATGGGAGATTTTACTCCAAGTTCTGTAACTTCATGACACGTGTTTCTCACATGACACAGTGTATACTCAGCAGGAGCTCTGCTGCTTTGAATAAGAGACTTCCTCAAATTGGTGATGTCTCTATATGCTGCCACCTGCAGGCCATGGAAAATATGGTCCTTCCTGCTCAGCTTGAGCAGACAAACCTAGCAGTTCCTTCTGCTTCATAAACTTGGTATACATTTATTTAATTTACCAATGCAAGGGGTATGACTAAACAAGCAAGCTATACCAAGTGTTGAGCAAATTATCTGTTTGATTAACTGAACAAAAAAAACACAAAACCCCTAACATTTGAATTTAAAAATAATTATTTTTCCTGGCTTAATAATTATAAATTAAACCACTGGCCAGACAAATTCCTGCTCACATTCACGTATTTGGAAAAATGTGCTCATATGTTGTTTTGTTTGAAATCTTTTGTGACTGACTAGCTTCACAACCACGCACAGTGCACAGGTAAACCAAGGTAGAAGGCTTTCAAGAAGATCACCTAATCTAATTTTCTATCCTCAATAAAAGCTGTAGAATTCCCCCCATCAGAGAGTTGTACCATATGCTGCAGGGTATACATATAATAAAGGCAGCCCCAGTGGGCCAGCAGAAGGCTGTAGTGTCTATCAGCTTTAGATGACACGTTTCGATAGGAGAATGATTTAGGCCTGAGCTACCACAAGATGACTTGAGTCTCCATCCAATCAAGGAGGTGCGAAGAACACCTGCGGACAGTGGAATAAAGTCTACAGGATGATGACCAGTGTCCTTCCACACAACCCAGCACTACATTAGCTTTTGCACCCAATACAATTTGCACCATGGAACACAAACCCACCTCTGATGTCTCTATGAAGTGTTTTAGGAAATAAACCAGTCATCTCACCAAATGTTCAGTGTGCTATGGTGTAAAAAAAATAGTAAGCGCCGCTTTATACATTTGACTCCATGTCATTGCCTACTGCAGGTAATAGAAAGAGAAAACACATGTTGAAACTGATTGATTTGTTACAAAAACAATATGGTTTTATTTTCTTGCAATTTTGGCCTCATCATTGTTTCTCTCTTGCCATGGCTTCCTCTGGTTGTCTGGTCCCCAGCCAACTGCATCACAAGACTGCCACTGTCCTACCCCAGCTCTGTCACCATAGCAACGGGATCTTTGACCCCATCTGTAGAAGCCTTGACCTGGATGTAGATCAGCGAGGCATCAAGGGAGCCTATTGGCTGAAAGCTGCTGCTGTGCTGAAGCCGCAGAGGGGTGACTGTGGAAGAAACAGCAGAAACTGGCAGGATCCTAGGGTCTGCTATGGCTGACAGGCTCAAACCCTCTTCTTTCAGACTCGAAACAACCCTTCAGCTGTAGCATTGGACAACAAGGGTGTTCTTTAAAGCAATAATTTGACATTTTGAGAAATACGCTTGGTTGCTTTCTTGCAGAGAGTTAGATGAGAGGATTGATACCAATCTCATGTCTGTCTGTACTTTCAGTATGTACTCATCATAGACAGTATAAGGTACTTGTCTGTCTGAAAGTATTAAGATAGAGCCAGCAGCCAGTTATCTTAGCTTAGCATGAGGACTGGACAGCTAGCCTGGCTCTGTCTGAAGATAATAAAATCCACCTACCAGCACCGATGAGGCTTAGTAATCAGCGAAGTCACTGTGCCTTGCCAAGAAATAATCCCCCACAAAACATACAATTACAAAGTTTTTTCACTTTGGTTTTTGTATGCATTAAACAAACAAAAAACAGTGTGTTAATTTCGAGAAGCTGGTTGGTGGATTTTGTTACCTTCGAACAGAGCCAGGCTATATCCAGTCCTTGTGCTAAGCTAAGCAAAGCGTCTCTAGTCTTATAATTAATGGACAGATTTGACTGTGGTATAAATCTGCTCAATCTTTCACTTGGCAAGAAAGCAAATGAGCACAGTTCCTAAAATGTCAAATCATTCTTTTAAGCATCCAGACCTTGTGGGAAGCTTTCGGCACAGAGCTACCATACCAACTGGTGCCTCAGCATGATTTTCTCAAGTTTTACAGCAAAATGAAAAGAGGGTTGGAGAAATGTCAGGAGGTAAAGAGCTGGGTCCAAGGTATAGCAGTCCAGTTGATTGAGCAGATTTGTGCCTTATAGAGACATCTCAGTAACCTTCAGAGATCTGATTCCTCTGGGAAAAGGCAGCCTGACGCAAAGAAGGGTGGAACCTGTTGACGGTGCTCTGCTTGTGTCTTGTCCTTGGATATTTGTGAGCATAATGTTCCAAACGTTCTAGATATGCGCCCCAATTTCTTTGACAAACAAATCTCTCATAGTGGCAGGGTCATCCAAGAGGGAGTCACTGTTCAGAGGAGGAACATGGCAGAATCCTTAAGAGTTGGACCTCTATAGTTTTGCAGACTTCTCAGACACAGTGCCTGGGTCTCCCTGTGGGCATCACATCGCTGGTCTTGCTTTAAGGCTGGGTGTGGTGAGAACTGGGCTTTCAAAAATCTCAGTTTTCCCCAAGGCAGGCCTGTGGCAGTTAGCTGGCCATCAAACAAGGCATACTCTGAACAGGGTAGAAACGGCCCTATCAGGTTTTTCCCAGAGGGTTGGTCCCGCTTCCATGATGGAAAGTGAATAATAAAACTTAATTTGTACACTGAGCAGCATGCGGTGGGTGTGGTCAGAGTGCTCTTAGCTAACCTTATAATGGGGATCTTTAAGCCAGTAAGTGACAAGTAACAGTGCACAAAATATTTAAAACTAAAGAGACATGGGCACCCTGGTAGCTTACCAGGTAGTGTGTGTGAGTCCTTATCAAAATGGCTGGTGTTCTAATCCAACCAGGGTGATTTGCTGCATGTCATCCTCCATTTCTCTCTCTCCTGCTTTTCTTGTCCCTCTCTGCTATTGTTTTTAAAAGCAGAAATGGAAAGTTAATCTAGCTTTGTTGCATATATTATCAACATTCTTAACTTTGACTATAAACTTTGGTTATTAAAACAAATTTAAAATCATGTTTATATCCCTTGTCTTTAGGTGTTTAGGTATATTTTTGAGGACCCCTAATTGGTCTAAAATGCCGTTGTGACCTATTAGAAAAACTCAGGTATAGAAGTGTTTCTGATCACATGGCCACAGCAAAAGAAGTTGCTTGAGGTGTGTGCATTATTTTTGTTTGTAAGTGAATAGGCTAACTGAAAATTACAAATCAGCTAGGCAGATGCACTATTGAATTAAAAGCGTTCATTCTCTAACATGCTGCCTGTGTCTCTTGATGGATTATTTTAGCTCTACATCTTTAAATAAGACGTATCCCTGCACTGTATGACCTAACCTTGAGTCACAGATTTCCTAAAACCAGTCACAGTGCCAGTACAGTGCTTGCTTAGATTTCTTAGAGTGCTTAGAGTGAAATGAGGGGACTCTTCAAAATGCCCTTTAGCCGACATTTTCATTATTTATTCATGCACTTGAGGACTGTGTTGGTCTTCATTAGGAGACCTAATTATGTCCAAGGAAGCCCAGTGATAAAGTCAAAGACCCCACTCACTATTTTAAAGAACACTTGTGTATAACAAATAAACATGTAATATTACAGTGAAACAAACTACTTTTAGCCCTACTGACTAATCTCTGCTTTTCCCTATTAGTACAAATACTGATTTCAGGTCCTAAAACTCTGATCTAACATATACTTAACTGATGACAAACAAAATGAGAAGATGAAGCTGCCACATAATAGATGTTAATATAGGTGTTATATGTGCACTGATGGTAGTTTTCGTAAGGATCCTCCCCAACACCAGTTGTGGATAACAAAGGCAGCTAAATATCTAAAACTTAACTATCTTAAATTAAAATGTAGGTACCATCTATAAAAAAAATCATCTCGCAGAGATAATCTTTCATAAATGTACAGATAAAATTAACTGAAAAAATAAATAAATAATAAAATAATTTTGTCAGTGTTAAGTGCTGTTTTTGCACATTTTCGTCCAGGGTAATTGCTGGGCCTTCAAGCCAGTAAACGGTACAAGGAAGAACATACAGCACAAGGGTGGGCAGTTTGATAAGATGTTCGAAGCACACACCACTCTGGGGTTTCATCATGCTGACAGCTTAGAGCAAGGAGAAATAATTAAGGATCTGATCCACGGTGACCTGCATTCGATGGACCTCTTCAGACCATTTGGGGGCAGGGAGAGGGCACACTCCCACTAATACAGGTACTGAGGGTGGAGGACTGGGAAAAATGACAATTCAGAAAACTGAGAAAAATAACAAAAACAAGCACTATAACAAAACGGGAGACAAAGAGATTCAAGATAAGACAGAGGGATTCCAGAAGATGACAAGTGGTGCTAGGTTTCAGGTTTCAGTTTCAAACCTTCCTATAGGCGAAAACTGCTGTGCTGCACACAATAAATTTTTCTATGACACATAATCTTTACACTTTATTCTAAACCCTAAATTAACACCAAATGCATGTATTAGACTGTTTGGTTGGTCTGTGTTTGAGCAAGTATTTTACCTATACCTATAGAGCTTGCCTAAAAATGTTTCTGATTTTGATATGGACAACTCTGAAATCTTACGGAATCGTAAGACAAAAACCAGTGTTTAGTTCTCAGTTTTCTTCTTTTGCATGACTTTGGCAGCAAAGTTTAAAATTGTGGCAATTTTAGTTATTGGTACAATAAAGTTTGATTTGTAAACTTAAAGAAAAGTCAATAACAGTGTGCACAAACAGCTTAAGGCCATCACACCTTTTATTATTCACCAGAAATAATGTCTAATATATAAATTGCCACAAACAGAATAGCGATACCAAAAGCAATTTTTTTAACAAAAAATTTCCCCTGAATTAGTTAATGTTTTCCTCCTGTAAACAATACATTAAGAAATTCATTTATCAAAAACACACAAAAGTAAACATGGAAATATGTCTATTGTCCCTTCCTCTCCCCGGCCCTGCAGAGCCCTGGACTTCAGACAGTAGCAAGTCTGCCTGCTTAAGTCGTGCCTGTATGGAGGGACTTAGAGGAGAGGCCTTATTGATCGTCTTCTATGAGTGAAGTCCAGGCATTAGTTCCAGCAGGGTGAGTAGACAGCTGTTTGTGAGCCACTCTACTGGGCCTACATAGCAGGGCTGAGTGGAGCTGGGATGTGCACTTTTGATTTTGATCTCTCCAACATCACTTCTATTGACCGACGCACTGTCCTGTGCTTTACTTGCTGAGAGAAGCACTTGCCGAGGCCTAGCTGGAAGCCCGGACACAAGCCACCATTGCATTATCCGGGCTGCTGTTGACAAGCTTGGGATGATGAATCTTCCATGGTCTGCTGAGGCCTAGCCTTAATCACTGCTGGCATCTACTGGCAACTGCCGTATCCACTGACCACCGCAATCACAAGTCAGGTTATCATGGTACACAGAGCTGAGAATCCCAGTGTTTGTTATCTAGGTGTATATGGGTGGACCAAAGTTACACATAAAGGTCAATCTGTACTGAGAGAAGCCCACTTTTCCTTCTGTGCTCAATTTTCTCAAATTTTTAAAGATCAGAAACTTTTCTTGGCAGGGTTGTCCTTCATATTTGTTTTATTAATGATAAGTGCCAGATGGCATTATCATTATTCTTCAAGCCCAACATGTCTAGGAAAACCAAGCAACCGTGAACAGTGAAGCATGGTTTGTTGGGTATAGTAGTCTGTTTGTATTTCAGAATTTCAATAGCCATGTCAGAATCTATGCATACATTTGGACAAAGTGTTTAATAAATGCTCGATTAGGATTTTGGTCCGATTGTGGCCCATTTAGTTTGTGTCTATGTATATTTGTCTGTGTGTGCAACCTTGACCATGAGGATGCAAATGAACACTAAGTAGGTATTTTCTATCATCTGTTGCAGCCCAGTTGTCTTAACCTTATTTATTAAAGATGTAATGTTGCTTACCACTAGATCATGTGGCAGACTTGCTTGCTCCTGAGTAAGAAAAAATCTTGAAATATCCTGTTTCATCCTATCCATATCCTGGTGTCTTACAAAGTAGCACCTGTGCATGAATCCAAAGGCAAAGCACATTAACCCAGTGTTATTCATTTTTCTTTCACAAATAATGGTAATGTTTCAACTAAGGCCTGTCATGAACACAAACAACCAATGGTAAGTGGTGCCATCTAGTGGTTATTACATGGATTGCAACAACAAAAGAAATACTTCCAAATCTGTCTGAAACCATAACTTTCAATAGCATTTTCTACTATTCCATTATTCAAAGGTAATATAAATACATGAAAAAGAGTCTTATCAGCCTATGCAGCCCAGTGAGTCTCTGTGCGCCCACCATTACTGGGTGACATCATTCTCTGAACTCTGAGCACCCTTCGGCCCTCCTCGTAGTCATCCTGGTCCACACTGATCAGCAGGCGCACGCCCTCCGTGCCTGCTGCCATCCTCAGGGAGTCAGTGATGAAGACTCCCTTCAGGGCCTCCAGCAGAGCTCCGCTTAGGTAGTCACCCCAGAAGGCCTCGAGGTTGTCCAGCTCTGTGAACTTAATGTCGCAGACAATGGAACCCAGGTCTCTGGCACGAAGGAGAGAGTTGGCTCGGCTGAACAACTCAAACTGCCGCTCCAGGGGCTGCCGTTTGTCCGAGGAGACACCGTCACGGAGGGCCGACTCATGCTCCAGGTATTCGGCCCGGACGCGCAGGCGGATATCTGATAATGGAAGAGGGAGGAGGAAGCAGTGGTGGAGAATAGGGGTAATGGTGTGGAGGGGAAGAGTTGAGGGGTGAAATAATGATAGGGAAAGTAGATGGAACAACATAAAGATACAGTGAGGAAAGGATGGAGGAAAGGGAGAAAAAAAGAAGACCGTAGTAGAGGGTGAGGAAAGGTTACAGAGGAAGTTCAAAGCAGTGAACAGTCAGCCGACATAGCAGACAGAAAGGGAGGAGTTATGAAGTCAAAACAAAGGGAAGAGAAACGGGGACAAGACAAAAATCATTAAAAGCTCATTTAGTGTATCTAGGTTAGTGCATCACATTAAGCAGGGATTTAGAAAAAAAAAAAACTAAAAAAAACGGGGGACGAGAGCACAGAGTTCCCAAAAGGAGGTTGTGACCCACTAGGCGGACTACTAACTGGACTGGAAATCCACTGAAATACTTTACAGGATATTTCTCAATGATAAAAGCCTGACAAAAGCAAACATAATGGGGCAGCAGGGAACAACAAACTGTTCATTATGTAGGATGCTGGGGATAGTCCAACCAGACCGTGTTAATTTGTTTTAAATACTGCTGCAACCCCTTCAGTTTCTTTTGGTGTAAATGAATCTGACATTTTGGAGCATCAAGAGAAATACTGCAACTGAACCAGTAGTGTAATACCACCATTTTAAGTATTCATCTCGGCTGTTAACTAGATGACCGGAATCAGAAGAATCTGATGCATGAATTTTCAATATGACAATCTGCGTAGTGTACATAAATCATGTCTAGGGTTCATGTAATCAATATATTCAAATTAACATGACACCTTGAGCAAATATCTTGGTGGCAGTAATGACTGCAACTTAGCATTGTCAAGAACTGGGGTGGCGTTTTTCCAGCCCAGTGTTTAAAAACTCCAGATTCATTGTGATCAACATGTTTAATGCTGAGAACAGATAGCTGCTGGAGTTCCACAGTAACAGGATAGGCGTTCATGCAACTGCACAGCGAGAAAGATCAGAGGATACATACTGTACTGAACAAGAGCACCGCTGAGATCGTCCCCATGTCATTATTCCAGAGCTTCAAGTGGAAACCAGCTGCTGATGACTTTTGCTGCAACACAAATCCATCCCGCTCTCCCACTGAAACCCCTACACAGTATTTACTACCAGTGACATCCATTTCACTAGAAACATTCTCATCGATGTCTCATTGCAAAGATGTGTAGGAATCTTTTTCCAAGCAGTTTTAAGGCCATAATTGCATCTCTACGTATGTATAATAAAACAAGCTGCTGCTCTCCATCAAACTTTTAAAAACTGACACAAAGTGAAATCTAAAACAGTACAGTACTCAAATTAATGTTAAAATTCTTTTCAATGTAAGAGTAAACTTAAATATACTTATTTTTGGAGGAACAAGAAGCATATTGGCAAACAGAATATGGATGCTTTCCCGCCTGTGGTTTGGTTCATTTGGTCCGGACCAAGGGAAAAAAATATTAGATACGGTTGCATTTTAGTTCTGGTGTGTTCACACAGACTTTTTACAAACAAACCAAGACGAGTTATCATGAAGTTACACTGACAGTTAACTCTCTCACTCGACAGTTTTGGCCATTGTCATCCTGCATCATCAGGACCAACGTGGGGAAATCAAATTCCAGTAACTCACAAGTTAATGCAGCACTTTAATGCTTCTGATATCGGTCTATTCATTGGTTACTATTGGTATATTTATGTTGTTCGGTGTCACAACGGGCTCACAAAGAAATAACTGATTATAAGCAAATTGACCGCATGTTATGAATAACAACGTAGAGACGGGACAGGACTTATACAGTAATGATTTGGGGCTTATTACTGTTGGCTCGCTGACACAAACGTTTTAATAGACTTAATGTACTGACACAGTACACAGAGTACAGGCACAGCATTTTTAACAGCTTTTGACTGTAAATCAGGGAAAATACCCACGCTGACATACATACAGGGATTCCAAATGAGTCCCATAAATATATACATGGCTTATAAAGATCAATTATATGATTGCTTCCTGAACACATTTCATGATCAGCAGATGGATTTATTAGTAGTTTAGATTTAGTAATAATGCTAAAGACACATATCTGCAATCATAAAATCAGCCCAAATGACCTGTACTAACTAGGCAAACGCACTAGGTTTCATTTTAACTGAACTGGTTAAGTGTGAAAGCACCTTATGTCTTCACGCCACTCAGACTCTCAAGAGTAATGTGTGTAAAGCTCACACTTGTGATTCTGATGGAAAGACAATGACTAGTCCTGAATCATTAGGTAACATTGAACACTTCAAGGTTTGTACCTGGTTAACTAAACAGAAGCTCTGATTCCACTGATAGTGTTTCAACTAAAGAGTCACGTTTACCCTCTCTCCATTCACATTTTGTTTGGGGCTATGGGGAATGGCGCAAGACTCAAGAGGGATAACGTTTAGAAAATGCCAACATTAGAAATGCAAATGTTGAATTAAGTCATTGATTTTGCATGTCTTAACATTTGAAGGAGAGGGATAAACCAACACTGGCTTTTGCATTCATGTTTCATAAGACTGTAATTAGATTAACATAAAAACAGAGGATTAGATCAATTGAGACTCAGGGCTGGAAATCATAAGATCCAATTGAAAACCCACTTGTGGACGGAGATCATTCAATTTACACTTTAGTTTGCTCAGACAAAGGAAATTAAGGCAATTGTTTTTTTTCTTCACAAAGGGATTAAGGTACAAGCACATGACACACTTAACATTTTACAGAAATAAAACATTTGATTAATTAACCTTTCTTCAGGTCAATCCAATGACAATACATACGGATACAATAGATACATTATTGTTAGGAAAAATGTGTCATACCACAGATCAAGACTGTCCTGAGAGAATGCTTTTTTAATTACTATTAACAGTGAACTCCTAAAAGCATGTTAAGTCTGGCAAAATCTGCTTCATTAAGACAAACATTATAAACAAAGTGGCAACTGTTGCTGATTGGTCCACTCAAAAGATATTGGTCAGGGAAAGGGTACAAAAAGTTCTAAAGCAACAATAGCCTTCAGTACAGTACAATCAGTCATAGAAAAGATATGCTAATCTGCCTAGAGCATGGCATACTTAAATATTTGGAGTTTGGACAACTAGTTAAAAAGGCCAATCAAGATGCCAATGAAAGAGCTGACATGGGAGACACTGTGCACACAACTTTTAGGCGGGTGCAGAGAAAGTCAGCATTGAAAAAAACAATTAAAAGATATCTCTGAATCAGAAGTCGAAGGTGGTTTCATGATCTCAGAAAGCCCAAAAAAATAGCATAGTTTGGCATAAGCCAATCACCGCTCACCAACGAAAACACACTTTCCCTACTACGAAGTGTGGTGGTGGCAGCATCATGCTGTTGGGATGCTTCTCTGCAGCAGGCCACGTATTGCTTGAGACTGGTGGAGGGTAAATTGAATGCAGCAAAAGACAGAGAAATCCTGGAGGAAAAGACTGCTGCAGTCTGCAAGAGAACTGTGACAGAGATGGGGTTTTTTTCAGCACAACAGCCTATGAATTTGTGCAGATATGTTTTCACTTCGTCTTTATATGCTAATCAGTGTCAAAAAGCGCATCCACTGTGATTCAATGTTGCAAAACATTAAAACACAAATGGTCAAACTGGAGGGTTAAAAACATTTTGTTGTATAACATCCTTGCAAACATATTCAGCAGTGGCAGAATGTGTTCAAGCATTTGAGTATTCTGATTTATCACAAATGTCAAATAGGGCATCTACAGTATCTTAAAAAGGGGACAGAATACTGCACCTAATGCTTTGTACTCCTATACAATATTCAGAATGGACTCGCGACAGCGTTAAATATTAAGTTAAAGCGCTGTTAACAGTTGGACCTTTTGGATCATTACACTGTGTGAGGGCTGTAGCTATGATAAACACCTGCCCTTCATGCAATTACCTGTATTTATGGATGGCCTCCATTTCTGCCTTCCCATTTCATACTGAACAGGATGGAGGTAGGAGATAGTGGCACTGAGGAGAAGGCCATTTAAAACCACAGGAACACAATGATAGTCATTTTGTTAGGGTTACAGAGCACTTCACGCTTCATCAGACACAGAGACATCCACTTAGACAGGACATTAGGAAGCACAGCTTTCATTTTCTCACTTTAAGCACCAGGCCTGTTTTGGCTTCCTCCATCTCACCCCACCAAAAAAAAAAAGAAAAAAAGTACCCATTTACGAGGAGTCACTTGGCACGGAGAGCTTCAACTCTTTATCGATCCGTTTTTCTGCTGAATGACTGACCAAGAGAGTGGAGACTTAGGGGAGTATTGAGAGAAGGGCAGACAGAACTCTCTCTTTTCCCCATAGACAAAAATCACTCTGTACCATTTTGCGTAGTTTGAGCATTTAGAGTTCGTTCTCTCCCTCTCATTGTGTGTAAGGATACTGTTTTCCTGACACACAGGTTGGTCTGTTTAGAACTGCGAACACAGAAAGGAGAGAAAGGGAGAAAGAGACAAGCACAAGAGGGTTGGATATCTGTCGACTGGGTTGGGTTTTTTTTCAACATCAAGCAGGCATGGCACAACACTCACTTCTCTTGGTTGTAATGAGGTTTGAGTCACGGCAATAGTTGTCATTGACAAGGTAATCAGCTCAGAAATGCCTTTACTGTAGCTCTACAATATTACACGGTAGTGTCTTAAGTGGGATGCTTGGGACTACCTTTACACCAACCCATTATTTAAACTCCAACCATAACATTAATCATATATGTTCATTAAACCAAGTGAAAGTCTTCACAAGCACCCCATTTAAAAAACACTACTAAGCTGAAGGTACAAACACCGTGTGGACATTTGTAAAAGCAGTTGTCATTATCAGAATGGAATTGAGACACTTGACTGAGAATGATCTGAGAGATGAATCATGACAAAGAGTTGAGGTTTGTTTAAATGCTAGGGGCCAGCATTGGACTGAACCGCCCTATCTATCTCTGCTCCCTCTCGACAAACGCACACCCAGGGCTCACACAGGGCACAGAGATAAGATACAGCAGGAGCTTCCTTCAGCAGAGCACTGTTGGGTTATTTTCCTCAGAACTGTTTGAGTAAAGGTTACAGGGGCATTCTTTAACAGCTGACTGTTGGCAGCCATTTTAGATTCTCTGAATTGAAATATGGGGCCAAGACGAGTATTGTTGCCAACTAAACATTTTTATATCTTGAGACTCCAGAGCTGGAATCCGTGAAGGTTTATTTAGCCAGTATGATTTGAGTGGATTGAATCTTGCGGGAGATTTATGAAAAACGCGGCTATAACTGGCACTTTCACAAACATGTCCAACATACTTTAGTTTTATATTTGCAGAGTTAAGCTCTTCAGCGTATTAATTCAGGGTCCTTCATTAAGAGCCTAACCATGAACCTAATTCAAACAGTAGCCACAGATAACCTAAAATTAGACAAAAATAACTGACTAGTGTCTCCTTGTTTGGTTTGCAGAACAACTGTACCTTCAAACATTTTTGTTGCTGTAAATGACATCAGAACCAGTCCTAAATGATGTTTCTAATCTTGTAGTACTATTGCAACTTTGAGCACAACCAAAGCATATGCTCACTTTCTCTCCAGTTTCCCCACTGTGATTGTATATTGTGTCATTTCCTAACTTGGAAACTCCACCATCGTACATTGGCAAACCTCAAGTCACAGTGAGTATACTGCCATTTTCACTCTCCCAAGTATTTTACTGCATTTGAGAATAGGGCTGGGCGAGATGGCCAAAAATGTTATCAAGATAAAACATTTTATGTCATTCGATATCAATAATTATCACAGTAAATGTCAAATGATTATTTCTTTCAAGTTCAAAGACTGATTTTTGCTACCGAGTGAAAGTTGAAGAAACCAGATTGTAAATGACCGATCTTTCAAATACTGGTTGTTTTATATGCTTATTCATATCATACAATTTCTTCTGAAGTGAGGTCATTATTTGGCCCATTATTTAAAATTTAATGTCAGGGCTTTTATTTTGAAGGCGTCTTGCCGGAAAAGAGAAAACGGTACGGTAGATTGTAAAGTTTGTCCGCGGGTAGAAGTTTGTCTTCTTAACGAGAAGAAATGTGAGTGGCAAATCAATCTTTGTCTGTTTAGCACCCAGCTGATAAGAGCACAAGGTTTGTTATAATTTCGTTTTATGTGCTGTTTAATGTTTAGTGACATGGTGGTGCCTTTTCATCATTTTGTAGAGTTTTATGCTATTGTGTTTAAACTAGCAAGATAAGCTATTGTGTGCTATTTTATTAAGGGCAATTATCCCAGTAGAGTTTGCTTGGTAGTACAGTGTAAAGAAACGCAGCACTTGTGTGTTTTGCAGTAACTGCAACATAAGGTTAAAGCTGCATATGTGACATAAAAATACTGCTTACTTATAGCACTCTTATCAGAGGTTGTCACTAAGCTAACAGGTTAAAAAAGGTGATATTTCATGATTGGAATATAAAAGGAGAGTATTGCTTTTATTTTCTTTCGTAGCTCTTAAGTTGTGTTCAAGGTATATTCAGGTTTATGGAGCTACAGTGTCATCCTATTTCCCCCTGAACCATCAGTAAAAGCGTAGACCATCATTCAGCCAGGGATGCTACACAGATGGTTAATTGTGGTTGGAAACTATTCTTTATGGCCAGAAGATGACAAACACTTGCCAAACACTGAATCACTGTTTGGCAAGTGTTCTGAGGTAAAACATTCAAAACAATTAAGTAAAATCTTTTTTTCAGTCCTTTTTCCTCAACAAAACAATTAACTTTCGCATTACCATTATCATATCACTGACACTAGAAAAGTGTTCGATCTAGGGTCTCAAATGCTAACTGGAAAATAAAAGGCTGACAATTATTGCTGGACTTTTTTCATATTATCTCATAGGTATGTAGTTGTCAGACAAAATTTACAGAAATGTGTGTCGATGTCAACACAGGTACTGTGTCGTATATTTATAGCGAAGACACAGACAGCCATGAGCTAAGACATAGAGGCAGTTGGCCATGTTTGTGAAAAAGTTCACCAGGGTTCTTATCTGCAGAGAATCGAGGAATTTAAAATAAACTCTAAATATCCCCATCATTGTGGTTTTAGTGAGATCAAATAAACTTTTGTTTGTTGACCAGATATGTTTGTTACTTTGGCATGTTTTCCTCAAAATCAGCTGAAAGGTTTTTGAAATATCTGAGGCTTACTGCTGAGGACTCAGTTCTGTGAAACACCGACACCAACAACCCTTGTCAGAAATTGATAAATAAGGAATCTCAAACAGCATACTTTCTTATCCACAGTGCACAACACTAAAGAACATTACAGGATGATTTTTGAGAGCAAATTAGGTTTGCTGAGGGGGATAGGGTAGGGGGCAGCTACATTATGATACATAAGCATCGAATACAGAGCAAAGTGGCATCACCAACCCCTGTTGTAGCGGGGGGGAGCCTCTTTTACCTTAGGCATCGGCCCAGACTTGTGAGAGAGCGCATGACTGAGTTGATCACGCACACTGCAGTATGTATGGACTGAGTGGAGTGACAGACTTTTTTGTTTTGTTCCTCAGTCTCCCCCTCTGTCTCCATGATCCATTGTGTCTTAGGTTACTCGATCTGAGTCACAATCCTGAGTCAACCTGGTGGAATCAAATGTGGAGTCAAGACAGCAACAGGTTTATAGCATAGACTGTATATAAAAACGGACGACATGCCTCCACTTCTCCCAAAACAAAAAAGAAGCCAAAATATCCCAGATACGGACGCTGCCATCTTGCGCAGGTGATGTCATTTGGAGCCAGAGTCTGTGCAGTAGTGATTGAAGCTGCGTTATAGAGATCCCGCCCATACACCTGGCTGACTCAATCACGAGCAGGGCTCAGCTCTCAATCATGTTGTAACCCCCCCATTTATAGCATCAAATCATTAATTAAAACCAAACATTAACACATGAAAATACATCAGCAGGATAAGAACTACTTAAAACGACAGAAACCATCTTCGGGAAATATTCATTTGATTTGAACGTTTTAGTTTGGTCCATGTCCCATCCGCTAACATGGATGGCCATCAGGGGGCGATCAAGATGTTTTGGCTTCACTTTAGTGAGCAGTCATGACGTCCATCTTTATATACAGTCAATGATTTATAGTCACAGGCACATCACTCATCTTCAATAGCTAAGAAGAGCAGTCTCCCTTGTTAGATGATTTTTGATTGAGTCAGAATCATCGGCCCTTTGTTGTAGTATTTCTGACCAACAGGCAATGATGGATGTTCAAAAGAAATCTTTGGGAAGGACTGCATGAAGGACTAAGCAAACTTCACACAAAGGGCAATTACCGTTAGTGTTATCTCAATCTTACTGTGCTGAGAGAAACTAGCATTGATTGCAGGCAATAGTTGAAATGTGGAACAGGACATTGATAATGGTTTACATAGTGCAGCTTTCCAGTAGAGTTAGACTGTTTCGAACAACTGCTCAAATCATTTTTCAGGAAGATATGGGAGAGGTTTCACAGTTGACTCATGACAACTTTGTATCAAGCTTGATGCAATAAAGCAGAACAAGGGCTGAATCTAGTGGTGACTGAGCAACGTCTTTCAAATAGACTAGACAAAAGGACAGGAGACAACCTACCAGTCTGCACTCTTATAAATAAATTGCAGCAGTTGAACATAGTTCAGTGGGTTAGAGAAAAGATGAAATGAGGGGGGAAAGAATGTAAAGAAGGTTTTGAAATGGATAGGGCAATAAAATCTCCCTGATGTTGCATGTTTAATAAAGGCGGTTAAGATACTGTAAGTCTAAACATATTCTATGTGACATGAAAATATCATGTGAAACAATAATAAAGGAGATCAAGACAACTGAAAGGGTAGAGCAAGCAATATTTGTTCTGTGTCCAGTTGAATAATTGTTGTGAACAATTTTTCGCTGAAGTTGTAAATCAGACAGAGCCCTTTTGATGTGTTTGAGATGTAAAGTCAGCACCTGCTGCACAGACAGTGAATAAGGTGTACACTGAATTGAGTTGTCAGATCAAAACATAATTCTGCAAACAAGTAAGTTTGGTACAAGTGCTTATTCAAGAATCATATACTGTATTCAACAATTAAGTCACACAATCTGGACATAATTAAATGTAGCAGAGACCGATTTTACACCCAGGTGATATCACCAAATTCATTATTAAGTTTTCCGATATTTAGTGAATGTGAGACAGGTATTAAAAATTTATTTTTGTTCTATAACATTGGCACACCAGGCAAAGGTGTCCTTCAAGGGTATGGGAAACAGTTTTAATCATTCCTGTCCTTCTGATGTGAGTATTATGTAAAAATCTCTCCCTGCTCTTTACACTCCTGTTTCTCTACAACAGAAGGCGAGTAAACAGTTTTCACAATAATTGCTTTATAACACAAATTTTCATAAGGAGTTAAAAAATACTGGACGCGCAAGCTTTCTGTTCTTCAAGATTTTTTGGGATGATGGTTTGAATAAAAATAAAAAAATAAAATCAGAATTAGTATGCAAACTCCTTAACTCGAGCAAAGGACAAACACCATCAGAATTAAGGAGACAAAACAGGAAATGTTGTGAAGCAGGGCAAGATATTGATTGATTGAAAATGAAATTGGAGCTTATAAGAGAAAACGGGGGGATGAAGATAGGAAAGAGATAAAAAGCTAAAAAAAAAAAAGAGAAGACAGGTTAAGAATGCAGGGGCTGCACTTACTGCAGGACACTTTATGTGGTGGTGGTGGTGATGGTAGAGGTATTGGCTGGTCCTGTCTGCTTGTTTTCTTGGGCCTGCGGCTCCAGCCATTTCCCCTCTTCTTCTTCCTCTTCCTAGCGGATTGCCCAGGCATAGGAGGGTAATTACCTGACAGAACATGCATGGAATTAGTTTGTGGAATTAGGACGATAGGATATGGGCATGGATGGGATTTCTTTTTATGAGGGATACCCGTTGCCCTGCTTTATTTCTGTTCCCGTCTGTCCTATTTCTGCTAATTGCACCATGTTTATCTGTTTCTGATCAAAACATCATTATTTCTCACATGGAAGGCTTACATACCAAGCGTTAGGCATGTAATTTTATAAGTGAGAGTATTGTAATTTTGACCTGGGGAAATTCCGCTTCAACTTAAACGATATATATCCCTAGCACAACAGAAGGATGGAAAAAAACAAATTCTACTCAGAAAAGATGCCAGAACCTCTTTAGGCACCAAAGCCGTGCTGTCTGAAGGATCCCTATCTGCAAATGCACAAAAGTGGTCCTGTCTGTCAAAGAAGGTGACCATAAATGTGCCTCTTCATAATTACTCGTGTGTTGTTGTCTGTTCTCATCTCAGGGCGTCAAGTACTGACGCTTTCAGAAAGGCTGATAAAGCGTTATTTGATCATAGTATTTGATGCAAAAATACCCTCTGGCGTGTGTATGTGACGCCCTGTCTAGACCGGGAGAGCTAGTAGCTAGCTAGGTAGCTAGCAAATTTAGTATAAAAGCCATTGACAGCTTCCCAAAGCCCCTTACCCTAACCACGAAAGGGGTGTATGCCTAAACCAAAGTCAGCGACTGTATGCATGTCGACCGACTAACCCTGCAGCTGTGCACGGCCCATGTGCTAGCAGCTAGGGTTAGCCTCCTTTGTGTACTACTACTTTGTTAGATTGTTGTCATTATTAGAAATTAAAAATGTAACGTTGAATAAGGTTTTTCATATCCTATTAAATCATAGTGACCAATTTAATCTCCTTGATTAAATTTTTTTATCATCTTCATTTTAAAGATGTAGTTGGGTCGTTTTGAATAGGCAGATTTGCGGTACTTTTGCGCATGTGCAGAACGGATCCGGCAGGCGGTCCAGATTTGGCACTTACAGCCTCTTCATCAGAAAATAGGTATTGGAATAAAAGGACACTGCAGCCTATACTTCCAACGAGCTAAATTCTATACAAACAGTGTACTTACTGGTTCTCAATTGCTGTGTGAAAGATGGAAGAGGTATTTCTGTCTGTCTGCAGCTGTGTGTTATTCCAGAGGCACACACCATCTCTCTGCCTTCTATTCCATAACTCTGTTCAATTCTCTCTGGAGATACTGAAAAGCATAAAATATACATTAGAAATTATGGCTATTAGGACAGAATGCAGTTATGGCCGGTACTTTTTAGCAGGCCATCATAGAGAGAGGCAACAGCCAAAGCAACATAACCTCAAAATCTGATAATGAGCATCCCTGTGATTCATCCTCACCTGTCCTCCTTTTCTTGTAGGACACTAAAGGCAGCAGATCATGACGAGTGAGGATTCTCAGTAGTTGCAGTAGTGGCTCCAGGTTGCCATCACTGAGGTAGCCTCGCCTCTCCAGCTCTAACAGCAGCTCAAGGCCGCTTGTGGGCTTACACGAGGCCACTAAGTGACCCTGGGAGTGCTGAGGCTTTAACCGCCTCCAGGCCTTTAGCAGTTCAGGACTCGGGGACACACCGGAGTCATCTGGATCTCCCACACCGGGCTCAACTGTCCAGCCTGCTGGATCAAGAGGGTGTGATGTAGGACAGATTTCATTGAGGAGGAACGATAACACCTCAATGTCAGTCTCTGACAGCTGAGAACCAACTACGTCAAAGACCTCATGGAGAGACAACATCCCATAGTAGTTTAGGCACTCCGTTTCATCCCAGTAAAGTGAGTCCCTGAGTGGGTACCCTGGTTGATGCACTGCAGCCATGTGTCTGCCAATAGCCCCTGTCCACCTTCCAACCTGTGTCAAGATAGTTCAGGATTTAAAAAAAAAAAAACAACAACATTACACTCAGACAGGTAAAGCTCTAACTGTCATACTCTCCAAAACAGTTCTAGTCTCAAGACGCTTAGCTCTATGAGGCTTCCCACCACCAATATAATTAAAATAATGTTGTACTCTACAATAAGCAAATTTAATTGTTCTCGCTTTTTCCTGTAGAGTCTACATGCTTGTTTAACATACAGATGGAAGACAAATTAAAGAAAAAACCTGAATAAAAGCGTGGAGAAACAGAGAAACATTTAAAATGCAATGCTTGTGTACCAAGGCTCACTGAATGGTTTGGTGAGCATGAAAATGACGTAAATGAAATGCTACAACCTTTATGGTTTCACATCTAAGGAAGATTTTGGACCAACGTGTAAGACAATTCTCTCCACCATCATCTCCGTAACACCAAATGATTTAATATAAACTTTCATCTTCAAATCTATTTTGTGATGCCTGTGACTGTCTCTGATGCTAGTGTTGAAGAATTTTGAAAAAATATCTAATTGCGATTATTTTTAACTGCTTTGCAATATTGGAGGGACTGATCTCTTTTTAATCCTCATGTGTTTTATTTGAGCAAATGGCATTTATGCAATTACAACCGTACAGATCTGTTTGTACAGCCATAGACATACAGTAGATGGTTACAACATAAAGTGCTCTTTTTTCCTTCTTTAGTTCTAATGAACTTGTTTAAATAAGGTTGCGACATTAACACATTAAATAAGAAAAAAATCAATTAGAATAAAAACAAAATACAAAAAAATTTAATAATATGCCACACAATAAGAACAGGTCGATCCCACCCTATCCCACCATCAGCTCACTGCTCACCTGATGTCAGAGGGAAAATATTACTCTTGGGTCACGTGCTCAAGATAAATTGAGGGGTGTCCAAATCATGTCAAAGTAAGGAAGTTTGTCTATAAGAATATATCTTATTCTTTCTAAGTGCAGTGTGTTTGTGAGGTCACTAATCCACATCTTTGTAGTGGGGACTTTTCTTTTCCAATGTCTAAGAAGCAGTTTTTTTGCAGAAATGAGGCTATAGGATAGGAAACACTGCTGAGTATTACTCAATTTCATAGTATCGTCGTATACCCCCAAGATAATAGCGAATACCTTTAACGAATAGTTTTCAGCTCTATATGAAGTATTCTAGATAGTAATCCGAAAATATTGGTCCAGTAGGTTTGGACATGAGGACAAAGAGACGAACATCTGGCACAAGTAGGGGAGATCTCAGGGTATATTCTATGTAACCTCTCTCTAGAGTAGTAGAGGCAGTGTAAGATTTCAAACTGGATTAAAAGGTGCCTTGCATTGTTAGAGCAACGATGGATGTTCTCCAAACCTTCCTTCCATTGGATGTCTGATATACCAATGCCCATTTCTTCTTCCCACTTAATTTTTATTGAAGTGGAAACAGCTGGGTTGATGGATTGTAGGATGTCATATATGCAAGATATACATTTTCAGAGCAAGGTGAAAGCTCGAGACACCTATCAAGACTGGAGCCTCCAAAAGTCGTTTTAGATGTTTTCTCACATAGTCTCTTACTTGCAAGAATCTAAAGAAGTTACTTCCTGGCAGTCTGTGATCACTCTGTAATTGTGTGAAGGAAGCAAAAAGTTCCTTCAATGCACAGGTCTCTTATTGTGTTGATGCCTACCTTCTTCCAGGATTTAAAAGTGTTATCTAAAGTAGATGGAACAAAGGTAGGATTTTCTGCAATCGGTAAAGCGTAAGATATGAGTTCCAAATTAAAGTGTGACCTGATTTGTTTCCAAATACGCAGTGTAGTGTGTATCATTACATTGGATTGGAATAAGGATTTGTCTATGGTGAGGGGATACAGAAGAATGGCTACCATGGAATAAGGTCTGCATGTCTCCCTTTCCATAACAAGCCAGCTTGGTATAGTTGCGGTATCGTGTAGCCAGTATGTGATGATTCTAATATGTGAAGCCCAGTAATATAACAAAAAGTCCAGAAATGCTAAGCCCCCTCTCTCTTTAGATTTAATTAGGTGTCTCCTGCTGATTCTATGTGTTTTATAGCTCCACAAAAACAGGACCACAATTGTGTCTAATAGTCTAAGGAAAGATTTGGGAAGAAACACGGGAATATTCTGAAATAAATATAACAACTGGGGCAATCATTTTAATGGCATTAATTCTACCAAGTAATGAAATTGGAAGTGTCTTCCAAAATTGGATATTAGACTGCAGCTTAGTTAATAATGGAGGGAAGTTTTCCTTGAATAGAGAGGAGTGGTATTTTGTAATCTGGATTCCTAAATATGTAAATTTCCCCAGAGATGTTCTGTACTCGTATGGGCATTAGCACGCTTTTGCCCCAGTTTATCATCATGTATTCAGAGAAAGTTCCAAATCAGTTAATTTGATCGAGTATTCGTTGAATAGTAATTTGTGGCTGAGTGACATAACAGAACATTGTCCGCATATAGCGAGATCTTATGAACGGCATTTTCTGTAATGTAACCCTGAATCAGGGGGTCTGTGTGGATACTCTCGGTGAAAGGTTCAATCGCAAGGGCAAAAATTAAAGGGGATGGGGGCACCCTTGCCTTGTTGCAGATTAAAACGGGGAGATAGTACGTGGTTCGTGTGGATTCGTGCAGATGGATTGGTATAAAGGAGTTTGACCATTGAGATGAATATTTTCCCAAAGTTGAACCTTTTTAAAATTTCAAACAGCTAAGGTTAAAGAAAGAATTTCTATTTGGTATAAATCTAGTCTGATCTGGATGTATCAATTTATGTGCAAGAGGATTCAATATGTCAGCAAGGACTTTGGAAAACAGCTATCAAAAACAGCATTTTTAAATAATTATTTTCATTGAAAAACATTTAAATGATTATGGTGTGATCTGTGCAAGGATCTGTACAAAACAAAGGTGTTTTCTTATGTCTGTAGAATATGATGTGTAGGCCAGGACACCTCTGCAGCACAACAATATTTAATATAAAATGGTATTTTGCAGTAGGCCATAATGCGATTTAGATTAATTGTTCAGCTCTATCTGGTGCTATTTGTTTTACTTTCTATCTGCAGTACTCAGGTCTCTCTTGCAAAAGAGATTGTGATCTCAATTAGATTATCTGATAAATGAGGGAATATCTTGTGGGGGAATGGTGTTCATTCCTCCAAAAGAGTTCCACAGACTTGGCAAGGAGCACTGAAGCTGTTCTGGAGGCTGGTGGAGGCCTGACTCCATACAAAGAGTCTTCTTGTTGTTTTTTTCCCCTTTAATTTGTCACCCATCTGACCTCAGTTTCCTGCCATTGTGTGTACTCTTAAATTATATTCCGTATCGCTAGTTTCGCTTGTTTGAGAGAGAGGTTCCTTGAAAACCTTGAAAATAGCCGATAAAGTCGGGTAAGACCAGCAAGCCAACTGTTACATTCCTCGTCATCTAGTTAGAAAACAACAACCAAGCCGTCTGTGCTTTACAATATGGCTGGCTAATGTTAACGTTACCATAACATGTCAGCGTTACGCATGTTCTCGACGACGTTCCTGTCAATGTTACAGTGTTACTTACGGTCCTACCTATTTTCGGTGTCAGCTCGACGCCGTCTTGACATGCAATGCAAAGTGTCAGCTGTGATTGTACTATGTTGAGGTTTCAAAGAAAATCTACTAAAGCAGCTTGAAGCCGAGGAGACGTTCTTCAGACGCCCAGCAGCAACCGCTTGAGCAAATTACCCCGTCGTCACGTTACGTAATCACGTTTCTCTGAGGAAAAAAAAAACACACACACCAAGCATTACAAAATAGCACTCCGAACATCTGTTTAGCTAAATATCAAAACTCTAAATTAGTGTCAAAACGGGCGTAATATGACATATATAACAAATATTATGTTCAACGTGGACAAAAACAACGATAACAGACATTAACGTTGCTTAATCCTAGCTATGAATGTTGTTAGCCGATGTTAACTTATGGGCCTTAGTAAAGACGGGCCCTCGGTGATATCAATGATAACGTAAAAGCATTTTGAAAGCGATATTTGAACATTAAATGTACTTAACAACTCACGGTCGTGGTCCTGGATATTCTGACTACTCCCACAGCGCCGAGCAGCAATGACAACAGCACAATAACGCAGAGAAACTGACCAATCACAGTCCTCCGTCTGCTCGATGACGTCAGCTCACTTTTTATTTTAACTGATCTGCAGTCAGATTCTCAATACGAGTTCCTTATGGAGTCAGCGTAACCGTACCAAAGTAGCCGCTCCCAAGTCGGCTCTTTTAATCCTATTTTGTCAGCTGTGTCGCTAAATAAAAAGAGATGTCTCTAATCTTGTCTAATGTTGATCCTCTCAGTTTTCTTCCCATAACATATCGCTTTCCACTCTACCATTCACTACCACTGGGGACAACGAATAACGAAAATATGCATCTCTAAAAATAATCACGGATAATAATAATTACCACAGACTGTATATCAAAAGATTGTCACGCACAGTTTTAGGGTGGAGGATAGGTAGTCCCCGGTGCGGTCAGTGGGTGGCGGTGTTTTGCGCCCAAACTGCAGGAAGTTAAATAACATCCACATCACATCCGTGGACCAGATCAGCAGCAAAGGTTTCAGGTTATTCCACCAAAGTTCTGCTGTAAGTATATTTGGTTAAATGATTACACATTTGACAGTTCAGAAAGGTCAGGTCTTCTTTCTATTCGTTTGGAACATCCAGCCACTGTTTTGCGACGTAAATAGACGTATCTGACTGCCTGGATCCGTGTACGTTAGTGGACATGAGCGTTAGCAGAGAAGCTAACTTAACTGTGACAATCTTTTGAACAACCAGCAAAGTTGTCTTTGTTTTAACGTTGGATTGCTTTTCATAACAACGTATTTAACTGTTACATTATAAATTAATGCTTGCTGGGTGTATGCTGGTAGCAGTTTCTTGAATATCCGGTTCGTTTAGCGATGTGGCAGCGACCAAGCCCTTTGTTGACTAAAACTTTCCACTTCTCAAAAACTGCACTTTAGCTAAGCTGTGTCTATTCATAATGCTCAGCCTGCATGACTGGAAAGTGGAGGCATCTAACTGTTGATATGAACAACATAGTCACTAACTCTTTACACTTGCGTATTGATTTAGCGTACAATTTTGTTAATTGTGAAATGTTGTGGCTCTCTCTTTGTCATGACACTATTCCCCCTAATAATCATTCATAATTTATTACTCTGTAAATACAGATTTAAAGTAATTGATGAACGAGTGTATTATGAAATATCTAAAGAATTAACTGTTGTGGAAATTGTATCTTTCTGGTGAGAAATTAAGTAAATAATTGTGTAACAACCAACCATTGTCTTTGAAGATTTTTTTTTAATAAAAGAGAATAAACAGAGAAGTACTCAAACACATATACAGCTGGTCCAGAGGCCTGCTGCCTAGGGCGGCTTCGGCGTCTGGCCCCAAGCAAAAGGATGCATAATCATTTACACAGTCTAGGTTTCTATGTTTTGGGGACAGAGATCCTCTCTCAGCCTTGAATGAACATTCAAGGAGAGGAGAACAACAACAAGAGAGGGAAAACACCAAAACAATCTCACAGGTCTGACCTAAACCCTAGTAAATGTGGACAGACTAACATAAGGAGTATAGGAGAAGGAAAGGTTAAGGATAAAAACACAATACATACATATATACCTACCATACCTATAAGACATAACAATACTAGTAATAGTAATAATAGTAAAAGAACATACATAAAAGATTAAACGTAAGAGGACACAATTTTCTGCCATAACACTAACAAATATATATATATAATAATATTGCTTTCAGATTTGCCAGAAAAACAATAAACAACAATATATAATGGAATGCATTTAATAAAGCAATCACGTCTTCAACTTTGTGAAATTATAACCAGCAAATGTTTGGTATTTTGCATGTAATAAATACCTTAATTGATTAGTTATTTATCTTAATTAATTAATGACATCTATTGGTAAAGAGAAAACTGATTAATTGGGTAAATGTATAGCACTGGTGTTTAAAATGTTTTATACCAATGCCAGTGGTACTATAACAAAATTATAATATAATTTATATTTAGTTGTAAATAAAAAGAGTTTTATACAAAAACCTTTGTTGATACCCAGCAATAGTAAGCGCTACAGTTATCTTTGCACTTTGTTGGTACCTGATAAAAGCATCTGCCTACCTGTAGACAAAAAAAAAAAAGGAAATCTAGAAATGAAAACAGTGTTCAAATGGTATTAATTTGGGCAACATTGTAAACATTAACATGTTTTTGCTATTACTATCGCCTTGCACAGACAGTGTGTAGATGCCATCAGAAGCTCCAAAGGGGGAGAACTGTCTTGTAGACATGGACAGCAAGGCTGGAGATCTGTTCAGTGCTGAGGATGCTTATCCAACTGGCACAGGTGGAGCTGGAATCATGGGAAAGTAAGGACATATATATTTATAATTTTAATGTGATTTCCTCCCTTCCTGTGGAAATATACTGAAGTATCTGCTACTATTGTTTATTAGTCTAAAATGCCAACAGATAGTCTCCTAGCTGACATGTAAGGGCTTTTATAAGGTACTTACTGTCTATATCTAACAGATCTATATATAAACAGAGCAACTAGTCTCTGTAGGCTCTTTTCAATGTTAATTTATCAAATTCTTAATATTTAGTTGTTAATGTCTTTGTCTTATTTTATAGGCTCCGGCTACCCAAAGGCTTCTCAGCTAGTATGGCTAAAGAGTGGATTGACAGGCGTCGATTGTCTATTCGTCCTTGGGCCAGCTTCGTGGACCAACGCAAGTTTTCAAAACCACGCAACTTTGGAGAGATGTGTCAGAGGGTGGTGAAAAACGTGGAAATTTACAACAGCAACTATACCTTCATCTTCCTGGGCCTCATCCTCTACTGCATGTAAGGCAGACAAAGAGGAAAAATGTGTATTGTTTTGTCAGTTGGAATATTTACTCTTCTGCTACCCAGCAACACAGGAATTTTCTTGGAGTGTTAACAGTAACAGAACAATCTGCGTGAGATTTGATTAAAAAGTAAAATGTACAATAATTTAATAATGCTGCTGTAATTTACATCAAAATGATTGCACTGTTGATGTTTCTTTCCACAGTATCAGCTCTCCCATGCTGCTGATTGCCTTGGCTGTGTTCGCTGGTGCCTTCTACATTATTCACCTCAAGTCCCTGGAGTCTAAACTGGTTGTCCTTGGTAAGTAAAGCTGTCAGGGTTGCCTTGCAGTTAATGGTGTGATGAGATCTCGCAAGATAAAAACGTGACAATATTTGTCGTCATGTGAAAAGTTGTCTAGCGACACTCATGTTATTGGCACTTTTCACACACAGCGATACATCAATTTCCTCATGCAGTGAAGAACAAATGTATAGCTGATAATGTCGACTCACTTTGCACCTACACCTTGATGGTAATCAAGTGAATCCGCTCTTGCTCTGTGAGTCGCGGCCACTTTGTGACCAAGTGGTAATGTAGCTGGTAGTTTTGCAATATAAAAACTGAAGCGCATGCTTGATCTGTTTGGGACTGTGTTTAATGCTCAAAATATTCATATGATTTGGCAATAAAGATTTCTTTAAAATAATGTTAAAATCTCATCTTGTCTCAATCTCGTGAACCCAGTATCGTGTCTCGTCTTATCTTATGAGCGCAGCGCCTCATCACACCCCTACTTGCAGTCCATTAGTTCTGTACTTGCTAAATACAGGGAATTCCTAAGATCTCCAGGCATGCTGGGACAATGTTCTAATATGTCCTTAATTTTGTTTTAAGGTGTTTTAGCAACTTGTCAACTGCCACTCGTTTTTCTGTGTGAATGTAAATAAAATGGGTTGCAAAGAAACAAGTGAATTTATTCAAGAATAGATGAAATGCATGCATCTAGTATAAGAAAATCAAATATATCCTTGAGCTTTTTATATTTTTTACAAGTCAATTTAACCAGACCTGCAAGAGACAGTACTAATATATTAATCTAATCAGAGGCATTATCTTTGTGTTGTTAAATCTGTAATTTTATTGTCAACCAGGCAGGGAGCTGACTGTCCCTCACCAGATGAGTCTGGCTGGAGCTGTTTCTCTACCTGTGTTCTGGTTGGCCGGAGCTGGAGCTGCAGTCTTTTGGGTTCTGGGTAAGCCAAACCACATTAGTTGTTCTTGCCATCCATTATTATTGTGGACATGCAGGAATATTTGTTGCACTGCTCGTCAGGGTACTTTAACTTATGTGTTTTTTTTTGTGATTTTAGTTATGTATTAAAGCATATTCTACTGTTACATTCAATGAAAGTCTCAGCTCTATCAGCTAAATTACTCGAAATGCATGTGGACACTGTCTAAGAAACACCATCTCCCTCATTTTTTCCCCCCCTTCACCTTCCCCATTTCCATTTGTCACGTCTCCTCTCAGGAGCGACGCTATTTGTGATTGGCTCTCATGCTGCGTTCCGTGAGCTGGAGGGATCCGACATGGAAGAGCTCCTCATGGAGCCTGTGTGAAGAACAGGCTGAACTCTCAGCAGGTGCTGGTCGACGGAGCAGTCACCACTTTGACCCTGTAATCATGTTAGCCCAGAGTGCTTGAGGAAAAACTGCTCCTAGATCTGTTCCTTAGCTATGTGTACATCCTGTATCCTCTGTATCTTACCTGTGCCAGTGTACCAAGAAAGCACCTTTTCTTGCCTCTGAAGTACTTGTTGTTACATACAGACTGTATTGCCTTCTTGGAACTCATTCATTCACATGAAATGCCATATGCTCAAATAATTAATTAATATAATATTTAAGCACATTATCATACAGGATATAGGCCACGCTCTACTTATGTTATGCCTTGGATGCCTCTGGTTTGTATCAAATAGCCTGTCCCTCCCTGCAACGTCCCTTATACATTGACATATCTTTCAATTTATTAATCTCTATCTATCTGTGCTATACTCTCTGCTGTAGATATCTTCAGAAATGGCTTCTGTGTTTAAACCATCTGACAAGATTGATGATTTCTTATGATAATGGATACAGTAAATGTTTATTCAATCCTACACTGCTACAATTATTTTATTTTTGAAAGAAAAAGTGCAATTTAAAGCTTTAAAAATGATTCAAGAGAATATAAGAGGGGTATTTCAGATAGGGTACTTAACATAGATGAGAAGACAACTTAAAAGGACAGTACATACTGAGTAATAGTGTTTTGTATTGGGGATAGTATGGTGTTTTGCTCACTGTATGCATATTTATCAGGTCTACTTACAACTTTCAGATGTGAAGGTCATTCTGTAAACCTGAAATATTTCTTTTTTTGAAATTAATTATTCTTTTGTTTACATTTCCATGTAAGTTGGGTGTTTTTTAGTATTTAAATGACATTTTGAAAGTGCAATAAACCCCTAATGTAAAGATAGCTCATGTTTTTTTTAAGGTTATTCATGTCCAGTTCTTTGTTATTTTAATTCAGGTAGTTTTTGCTATTCAATTACAGACGGCAGGTTGTGCATCCATGAAAAAAACTAAGTGGCCCTTAGCACTTTGTCTGTATATTTTATCATTATTCTGGTCCAGTCTGAATACACAGCGGAATAGGACAGTTCCAACCCTCGTGGCTCCTCTTCTCTATCTCTTGTACACCAAACACTGCAGCACTCACCAACCCCCTCTTGTCCCCCTTTTCATGTGACCCCTGTGACCTGTGCTCTGTGACAGCGCAGCAAGAGGACCCCATGCTCAGGTTGCCATGGCAATGACCTTGGAGGGCCCCAGTCAGATACACACTCGTCCACAGACACACTCGCTTACACACTGCGGCAAAGGCGAGCGATCGATATTCTATTATACGAAGGGTGGCGAGGGGGGAAGAGAAGAGAGTCGCACTGCAGTGAGCTCACTGCAGAGACACAGGGGAAATTAGAGCGAGGGAGAGAGTGTTTGTCAGTGAGTGACAGAAAGTGGGTGTGCATGTGTGTTCGTGTGTATGTATGAGCAGGAGACACTCCATTTATCATTGCACAGTGGTCAAGCTGTGCCAAAAAGTTGTTGTGTCTGTCACTCAAAGGGATATGTCCTAAATTTTCACAGGATGTGGAAAAGTGGCCTCTCGGATCACCCAATCCTGAAGTATATTGTGGTTAATCTATTTGTATTTGTGTACTCTGTGGACAATAAGAGGTTAATTTAAACTAGATGACCCTTGTGGCACAGAGAGGTAGCACGAGTACGGTCTGTTCCCTTAAGATAAAAGATATACTTGCTTTATTTGCAGGAATGTAACCTTTTGGAAATAAATTATTTTTTAAGTTTTGGGAAATAGCAGGACACTGTTCTCTTTGTAACACTCACATGTAGCTCATCAGTGTTGATTTCTGACAGGGCTGACACATTTACAGAGTAGTTTGGTGCATTACCCTGGGCAGTTGCCAACTCTTCCTCTTATGGCAGTTTAAAATTGTGCCATGTGCAGGTTGAAGTGCATATGAATTCATAACACTAGGTGGCATCCCATCCACGTTTCTGCTGTTGTATACTACTTATTACTGAAATGAACAAATTAGCATCACATATAGAAGCATTTTGTCAATGTGTGTCAATTCAGAAATGTGATGAAATTATATCAGCTAGTTTAATCTCATATTTGAATATAGTGAGTGTGATATATAGGGTATTGCAGTCAACAAAAAATAATTTAAGGTTTCAGTTGACGTGGGAAGCTATGCATATAAATGGGATGAGACGGTAATATCACCACCTTACAACTAATCGTAATAATGCCCAACTAATATGGTCAATTTAATTTTACCATTGGGATGAATCAACACCTCTTTTGTGCAGTCTTGAAAATATAACATGTAATGTGTGTCACAAAGGTAGTATTTGTTGCAAGTCTAATGTAAGAAATGACAGAAATTATTCCTTATATTTTGTCATAATATGCAACCTTGATGGGTGATGCATATTATAAGCCATTTCTGAGGGATAAAAAGATAAGAAAATTATTCTATTCTCTAATAAATTAGAGTGAAGTGTAAAGTAAAAGTAAAGTAAAAACAGAGACAGGAAGACACACAGAGAGATCTAGGTTGTATTAAATGTTCTAGATGTTTTATTGGTGTTGGTTTCATTTATTTGACACACATGTTTTACTTGTCGTGTTTTTTTTTTTCTTCTTGACTTTCAACTCTTGCAGCCATCTGAGATAGACCCAGCCTGAGACCGCTGGCCCTTCACTGGTCTCCAACACATACATGAACACTATCCTGGACCGGACCAGGCCATACCAGGACCTGGACTGAACCACAGCTGGACCCAGGCATGTGGACTCACCATCACCACATCACAGCACACTGCACCACATCATACCGGCACACCTGCAGTGGCAGGAACATGAACGCCTTGACTGGCGTCTTGTGTCTTTTGGTAAAAACACAACCTGAAACCCTGCTCTGCTGTTACAGTCTTAGAGTAGCCTCCTGAAAAACGAGCAAAAATAACTGAAACCAAACAAAAAACAAAAAGAGAGACACGTATGTCTTGCTTTTTCCTATCTCACCAATATTGTTGTTCTTCTTCATGAATGTCTCTCTTGAGCTGTTTTTCAACATGTTTTTTATTGTTTCATTTAAATTCAGTATAGAATTATATAGATTTCCTAGAGCACACAGAAAGATTGAATTGTATTTACCAACTTGGGGGGGGGGTGTACTGTAATAGTTATTAACAAGGACAATGGTTCACACAGTGCACACAAACAAGAGACAAACGGGGCGGGAGGGAAGGGAGGGGTGTGAGAGACAGAGGAGGAGAGAGGAGGGACAGGACGCCATGGGGTGTGCTTTGTTAGGCCTAAATGAGGAAAAGCAGCTCTCACATATCCCCCCCCTCTCGTCTTCGAAATAAAAAAGACAAGTAAAATCATTTAAACCCCCCTGTACCCCACATATTAAAAAACAACAACAGTGTGGCCGTTGAGAACGTAAGAGAAGGAAAATGGCCGCAGGCAGAACGACGGGGAGATGACCACTCCGCTGGTCCTCCACAGACAGGAGACGGAGGTGAGAGGTGGCAGTCGAAGTGGTGTCGGCGGTGGGATCTCACTGTGTGATCTTTATATCTGTGTGTGATTGGAGGACAAGCAAAGGGTTCGCGAGGAGGGAAAAGAGAGAGGAACGGAGGTATAGAGAAAGACGAGGGGAAGAGAGCAGGGGCCGAACAGGGAAGGGGAAGGAACTGGATGGCCCTTTTTTGCAGAGCATAGACACTCCCTTTGTATCCTTAGCTCATTCAAATCTACATACACAATATGCAGCTGCCGTTTGGTAGATATATTGGTTTATGTACACAGCAGTGAGAGAACACATGCAAAGAGTATCATAGGAGATGGGGAGAAGAGGGGGCGGGTCAATGTAGAAAGTTGTAAAGGTGCTTTTGCTGCTTTTAATCTTTGGGGCAGTTGTGATGAAAGTTGCTTCAAAGCGGTTTTTGTCTTTAACGGGGTAGGACATCTGGAGGTGTGTTTTGCCAGGGATGGAGTGACAGGGGGGAGAAATAAGTGGAAGATGTAGGGGGTTTGAGCAAAGATGCTCCATCGATCAATAGTATGTCTCCTTTTCCACCCAACCTGGAATGCAAATGAGAGAGAGAAAAACAGAAAGGAATAGTTCATAGTTAATTAAACAAGATATAATTTATGAAGATTTTCCACTGAATTAGCATTAGTTAAAGGACTACAACACTTTAGAGGAAAACACCGAAACCACTCTCAAGTCTGTACAATAAATATGTGGCTACAGGCAGCAATCAGTTAGCTTAGCTTACAAGAAATACTGTAAAGGGGGAAAAAGCTAGCCTAGCTCCGTCCGAAGATTATAAAATCTGACAACCAGCAGCTCTAAAGCTCATTAAATAACATGTTATATCTAATCAGTACAAAACTCAAGTGTAAAATCTACATGTTGTGGTTTCACGTTGCTGTGAGTTTGCCAGTCAACCATCAGAGACTCCAGGAAGTTATCGCACCAAGCCAAAAAATAGTGCAGCATAATACCCCTGTAACACCACAACGTGTTGTTGTTGCACTATTCCTTTAAATAAACTTTGGTATAAGGGGGTAACAGAAAAATATACTAACCTCCAGGATTCCGGCGGAGGAGAAGTTTTCGGACTTCATCATAAACAAAGATGAGAAAACTATAGGGGAATGCACAAAACCACCAGGTAGGTCTGTGGGCAAGACAAGAACCACAAGGATTAAAAAATGATCAACTAAACAGATAACACAATATGTCTTTATATCAGAGTGACTGCATATGTATCCCTGTGATACATGTGGTAATGGCACTCACTTTAGAGGATACATCCTGAGTGCCACGTCCATGCCTGGGCAGTAAGACAGGAAAGCAGCCAGGGCTGTCTCTTCAAACAAGCCAAATATCAAGATCTTGTTCCTGGGTTGAGAAACACAATGATGATGCAGAAATTGAGATACGTCTTACCCTTATTTATTTCCATTTATTGCTAATGATGGTTGGCAAAAAGGTACATTAAGTGCCAATGTAGGTTCTGGAAACCCAACACCTGAAAATACACATGTAAGTCTGCTGGTATCACAGTACAGCTGGACCCACCTCATGCCCTGCTGGAACACAGAGTTACGTCTGGTCTTGCAGATGATGACATCAGCCCACTGTACTACTACAATACTGACAAAGAAGGCAGTGTGGCATGTGAACTCTACAATCTTCCTCTGTTCGTATGTCTGGGGGCAGGAGAGAACAGATAGCCAGTAAGATAAAGAAACAAAACCTGGAAACACAACTACAAGTTAACTTAAACACACGAAAAAAACGCACTTACCCACTGCTGCCCATAGCTGTCCTCCAGGTCGTTGACAGAGCGGTCATCCCAGTTGAGCCTAATGCCTACTAATAGACTGGGCAAGAAACCATTTTCAGCCAAGATGACAAAGTAGGAGAAGAAGCCTCCCAGAGCTTGGATCATACCTGAGGAAAAACATACAAAGAGATAAGTTACAGTTTTCTGACTGACTTAATGTAGTTTTCCCAAAAACATTGCAGATAATATAATCTGGCTGTTGTTGCTTGTGAACAAAAAAGTGGGATAAAGTTGATTTTAGCACACAATTACTTTCAGGCAACCAAGATCAATCAATGCAGATCAAAGACAGTTCACAGCCTGGATCAGTGGTAGCAATCTTCATTTCACCTACCAATTTGTCCATAGGCAATACTGATAAGCCTCTCATTCACCAGCTTGTCCCTAGATGGGTTCCTGGGCTGACGCTTCATGATGTCGCTCTCAGCTGTTTCATAAGCCAGTGAGATAGCTGGCACCTGAGGGAAGAGGAAGAAATGTGAACTTTTACAGTACAGCATGACGTGTCATATCAACAGG